TTTTAGTATGCGCAATAGCAGATATATTATTTTAAACTGTTATATTAGATAAAAAATTATCTCTGAAGAAATTTTAATCTGATTATCTTTGTGATTGAAACTCTTATTAATTGAAATTACTGATTTTACTCATATCAATTTTTGTTTTATCTTATGCACTTAATAATCTTTAATTTTAGTGTGTGTTTTCAATAATGGAAGAATTTTATGATAAAAAAGAATTTTCGCTATTTAAGATGTTATTAGATTTTATTTATACATTATTAACATCTATTTATATTATATTCATAATCTCATTTAGTTTTTAGAATTGGGATTATTAATAGTTTTTTTTTATTTAATCCTATAATTTTTTAAGTCTATTTAATAATTTGAAATTTAGAAGTCAATTCTTCATTAAATTCAGTTTTAAATTTTTCCAATAAAGAATTCGGATGTACTATGACTTCTTATTCTTCTTTTAAAAATTGGCTTTATGAAGGTTTGCTAGTTTCATATTTTTTGGGAGGAATTATTTTAATTTTTTTAATTTCGTTTTTAATTGTCTCTTTATTTTATAAAATACTTTAATTATTTAATGTAGTTTGGGAAAAATCACTTGCATTTTCAATTAAAATACCTCCTTTTCGAATAAATTTTCTTATATTAATTATTATTATTAGTATTTTTTTAGAAAAGCTTATTTTTCAGTTTGTTTATAAAAGAAATTGTTTTAGTTTTTATTTTTAATTAAATGTATTTTTATTATAAGTTTTTAATTTCTTATTCTTAGTTTTTTATATTTATTATTTAATTGATTTTAGGATATTTTTCATTTAAATTTTTATTATTTTTGAAATTATCTATTGTACTATAGAATTTTTAAGGCCTTTATTATTATAAAAATCCATTATTTTTAAAAACGACTTTTTAATATATTTAGGAGATTTCATTTTAGTTTTACTATATTATTTCATTAAATATTTCAGTGTTTTTTTTCCTTTGAATATGTTTACGTTAATTTCTCCATTTTTTTATTGTTTTTTGTAATTTTTAATTGTTATTAGAGGTGATCTATAATTTTATTTTGGATCTTTTTCCTCTGTTAATGCCAAACAAAACGAGTTTTTAGTAAAAGCAAATTTAACCTTTCCCTTTTTTTCATTATAAGGAGTAAAAACAGTCTACTAAGATGAATAAACAGTTTACTGAGGCGAAAAAACAGTCTATTAATGAGAAGAAATATTCTATTTTATTTAAAAAAACTATGTTTATGCCTTACGTAGTTTTTTAGTTTGATTTTTGGGCGTATTTACACTTAATTATTTTTCTTTTAAATAAATAAAGAATCTTTATCTTCTTCAGAAATAATATTATATACTGAATTTTTATTATTTCCATGAAAAGATTTAAAATTGAATTTATTAAAAACATGTCTATTATTATTAATTTATTCTTCATTTTTAATTAAATCTGTAAATATAGTATTTGATTAAGCAATATTAAAGCATTTATTTTTGATTTATTGTTGTTAAATAGAGAGTATTTTGGTTATTTTTCGGTCTAAAATATCTATTTAGAGTTAATTTTAAGCTTATTTATTCTTAAATTGAGCTATATATTGCGTATATTTTATCACTAAAGGTTCGGCTTTGAAAAAATTGTTGTTTTTTTATAATATTCGGATAAATTCTTTATAAGAAAGTAAAAATAAGAATATAAAATTATATATTTCTTCTTGATTATTATTACAGAATTATTTTATGAAAACAGTATCGTTTATTATTTGGTTTTCGAATAAATTAATATATTGTTCGTATTATATTATACTTTTTTAGTATTCTTTTACTTTAGACATTAATAGAGAAATAACTAACAAAATTTAAGAGTGTATATATATTTCATATTTATCCCTTTTTTCGAATTTTTAATTTATAAAATTATTATATTCATAAAATTTATTTAGCACGTTTATATAATCTCCTAATTCTATCCAAATATTCATTTATTCGAGAATTATTGAAAATTAAAGAATTCGATATTCATTTAAAGATTAGAAATGTTAACCAATTGTACTAGGGGATATAATTTATTCAGATTAGGAAATATTGCTTAATCTTTATTCAGAATTTAGGGTTTATTGACGGGAATTTAATATATATATAAATGCTAATTCTTTTGCTTTTTTCCATGTATATTAACTGTTTTTACCGTTCTATATATATATATATATATATATATATATATATATATATATATATATATATATATATTTAATTATTATTTATTATAAGTACTTTTTATAACTATAAAATAAAAACTTCTTAACCTTATTGCAATAAATGTTTTAGACCATCCTTTTTTTTATATATTTCAGTTAAAAAATTTTAATTGAAAATTTATGGGTGAAAATAATTTGAGTTTAGACCTATGAAATGCTTTATATGTAATAATTATAATTAAGATATTTATTTTAATGTATTTTGAAGTTTTTTTTTTGATGAAAGTAATATTAAACTATTCTTAACATTAAAATCAATATTTGAATCTATTTTTTTTAATTTCATTAAAAATTTAATTAAAATATATAATAACTTATTAAAAAATATGATAAAAGTATTAATGTATTTATTTATATAATAAATAAATTATTTTTATTAACTTAATAAAATATATAAATAATTAAAATCAATTAAAATTATCATTTTTAGTATATATTTATTTTTAGATTAAAATATTATAATTATCTTTTATTTTTAAAAGATTTTTTATGAGTACAGGTATTTTTTTCTTCAATATAATATTATTTTAAAATTTATCATTCATTATTTATGTTTATGTATATTATATTAAAAAAATAATAAATAGAAATAATACATATTAAATAATTTACTGATTGGTTTAATACTAGATACGATATTAAATATGATAAAACATTATAAGGATTAAAATTCGCATTATAAAAATTTTATAGTTTAATGCAGAATTTATTAGAAAATACTTTATAAATATAATATTTAGTAATATATATTTGAATAATTTTATAATTAATTTATTATGATTATATTAAATAAATAAATAAATGTATATATTTATATATAAAGTTAGTTAATGTACCAGAAAACGAGAATATTTCTTTTAAAGAACTTTTAGATAATTAAATGTATATTTAAAAAAAAAAAATATTATAATATTCCGAATTCTAAATAAATTAGAAATATATTGAGAAATATAATTATTGAATATCCAAAAATTATAGATTGGGAATTTTGTGTAAATTTACATAATAATATAGGAGATAAAATAAATTTAATAAGAGTAAATTTTCATCCAATAACACATTTTGAATTAATAGATAAAAATATTAAAAGTAAAAATAATAATACTAATGATTATTTTATTATATTTTTCATAAAAAATAATAGAAAAATTAAATACATTGCTTTAAAAACATGAACAAGGTTTAAATTTAAGCAATTATTTGATAAAAGAGGTTTAAGATTAAATAATAATTTCTTAATAATAAATTTAAAATACATAAGAATAAAGAAACGTATATTTTATTATTAATAAAAAATAATTATAAAAAATAGTTTATAAGTACAACTGTAAAAAGTATAATAGATGAAATAAAGGAAATTAAATAAATGAAATAATATCACGGATATCATATATTATTTACTGAATTTTTAACTTCGTCCATATAAAATAATAAAGAATATTCTTAAGATAAAGAATATCTAATTTTAATGATGAATCTTTTAAAAGAACTTATTGAAAATTAGAAAAGTGTTGAAAGTTGTCTTTCTTCTGTTATTAAAATGTGCAATTAAATAAAAAATAAAGGAAAAAAACTATTAAGAGAAGACAATAATATTGAAGAATAATAATTTTTATTTAAGTAACTATTATTTTACAATGAAATTTCAATATTTTTTATTAAATAAAAAAAGATTTACAAAATTAATTGTTAAATCCGATTTTTTAGATAGTTTTTTAAATTAAAATGAGTAAATAGAATAATAATTTTTATAAGCTGTTAAATTATTAGAAAAGTAATAAACATTGATAAAAGAAATGTATTCTAATTATATATAAAAAATATAAATATATATATATATATATATATATATATATATATAATATCTTTTTTTTATTTATTTTTAAAAAATTAAAATAAAATATAAAATTAAGGAAAGAAAATAGAACATTACATGATGAAAATATTTTAAATGAATAAAAATTTAAATAAAAACTAGATTAATGGATAAAATGTAAAAAGAATATTGAATAATTAAATAATTCTGAAAATTATTAATTATAGTTTTTGCAATATTTAAGTAAAAAATAAATTTTATTAATATTTAAAAGCTTTTTTATAATAAAAACTATAATAAATAAAATACATAGTTGACATAGATCCTAATAATCCTTTAAATAAAAGCTTTGAAGAAAAACAAAGGGAATTTACTAATACATTTATTTAATATCATTAAATTTATACCTTTTAAATAGAGTCAATAAAATAAGTAAAATATTTTATTATTTTTGAAAAATAATAATTTATTTTTATAATTGAAAGATTTAAAAAATTGTCTAAAAGGAATTTAACATTAGAGTAGAAATATAGATTGATAAAATTGATATTAATAAATGATAAATAATTAATATATTTATATTATTTGTTTTAATTATTAATTATATAAGGCATTAATTAATAAATATATAAAAAACACTAAATAATAAATATTTAAAAATACTCTATAAAAATATTTCCTATTTTTATATAATATATTAAATTATGTAAAACTATATTATATCTATATATTAAATAAGTATTTTCTATGTTTAAGTTTAACAAAAAATGAATAAATCAAGATTATTATTTTTTATCAAAAAAAAATATTAATAAATTTTAAATTTTTAATATTTATTATTTTAATGTTATTTATTAATTGATTTAAAAAAAAAAAACGAAAAGTAAATTAAGCAAAACAATTATTTTATATTAAAAAAAATAGATGAGTTTAAATGAAAATGAAAGGAATATCGGACAAGAATATCCTCTTCCAAATATATCTGAATAAAATCTCCCTTAAAAAGTGAATATCTAATAAGAAAAGAAAGATTTTACATAACAAGAAGAAGAAGAGTTAAATTAATGGAAAAGTTCAAATAAATTGTTTGGAGGAACAATATATTTAGTATCAGGTTCTTTTTATAAAAATACAATTTATAAATAATACTAAAAACACAATAAAAAAATAGGTTTATATTTATTAATTGCAGGCATTATATTTGCAATAAAAAATGAAGAAGTAATAGAATATAAAGTAAACTATGGAATACTAGATAAATGTTTAAATCCTTCAGAAACTTCAATTTGTGAATTTATACTATAAATAGAATAAACAATGAAACAACCAATTTTTGTATATTATGAGATGAAAAACTTCAATTAAAATCATCAAATTTATCTCGAAAGTTATGACTATAGTTAACTTTATTCTAATTCAAATGATTCGTTAAATTCTAATAGATGTAAACCTTTTAGAACTAATATGGATTTAAATGAAAAATTTTAAAAATAAATAAATTAAAATAATCCATCTAAAGAAATTATTTTAAAAAATTTAAATGGAAAAATATTTTAAAATAGTTAATTAAATGACGTTGCTTTTCCTTGTGGTTTAAGGGCTTTTACGATTTTTAATGGTATTTTTTTTAATCATGAAATTTTTTATAAAAATAATTATAAAAGATGAGTATAAAATTTATAATTCTGAGGTTTAAAAATAAAATGAGATTTTTGTAAATAGTACTAATATTTCGTGGAATTATGATAAAAAATATATGAAAAATTTAAATACTTAAGATTATAAAGATAAATAATGGCTTGATTTAGAGGATGGTATATTGTTTTTATTTTTTAAAAAAAAATTATACTTTTAATTATACATTAAATGTAAAGAAAGAGTTCAAAATTGGATGAGGCCTTCAGGATTGTCCAAATTCAAAAAATTATGGGGAAGAATTGAATAAAATTTATAGCCAGGTTCTTATGTTGTTTAAGTTAAAAACAGTGATAATATATATATATATATATATATATATATATATATATTTATATTTATATATATAATTTTTTTTTATATATTTATTATTTATATATATATTTATTATAATATATAAATATTTTTTTTTTTATTTATAAAATATAATTTTATATTGCTTTTAGAATATGATTCTCAATTTTTTGATTCTTAAAAATCTTTTATTATAAGTACTGTTAACTCAATAGGTGGAAAAAATCCTGTTTTAGTCATTTCACATTTAATTGCAGGTTCTGTTTCGTTTTTAATAGGAATCGTATTAGTAATTTACCATTTTAAATATAAATTTTATAAGCAAAATTAGTATTGAATATTTTTGTTATTTTTTAAATCATTTATATTATGTAAATATGAATAGTTTATAAAAAAAAATTAATTATTTTTTTAATTTAATATTTTTTTTCTTTAATAAAATAATTTTTTTAAATATATAATTAAAAAAAGACGTTAATAAATTTAAAAATTATATAATTAATTTAATTATATTAATTATTTAATTAATTTTTCAAATTAATATATATTTTTCTTTATCACTATATTATATTTTATTTTATTCCTCTATTTTATTTAATGAAAAATATTTTTCTTATTTATTAATAGGGTTTAAATTACTATTATCATATAGTTGTTTCGATCCATTTATATATTCAAGCAAATTAACTAATTCATTATTACTTTCAAATTAAAAATTAGAATAGTTACTTTAAGTTTAAGTACATATTAATCCTAAAATTGTAGGCGCATCCTTAAATAATACATTTATATATAAATTAATTTTTTTTAAAAAAAATACATTATCAATTAATTTATTTGTTTCTTAATTAATTAAATCTTTTGCACTTTTAATCATTTCTTCATCAGATTATTTTTTACCGCCAACAATAAATAAAAAGTCAATTTTACCTTTTTACATATAACTATTATATATAGCAATTTAAGTCATAGCAGTCTTAAAATATTATAAAGAAAATATATAAAAAATAAATATATATATATATTATATATATATATAAATATAAATATATAATATTTATATATATATTTTTTATATTAATATATATTTTTTTTATATTTACCTTATTTAATGAGGATGATCTAACAGATATATAATTTTAACCTTCGAAAATTTCATTTCCTGGCATATTCTCAAGTATTTATTATAGTTGTTTAATAAGTGCTTCTTTTTATGTTTTTGCAAATTCCTTATCTAAATTTCCATAATACCATGATGTTTAAACTTCATTATCTTTTATATAAGATCCAGGTGCTTTTTATGTATAATTTTCCATTTTTCCTATAATATAAGGTTTCCATAGAATGTGTTCAAGTATTTTTGTTGTATAAATAAAATCTTGATCAGTTCCTGTTTATTTGATTTTTAAACCATTATTTGAAATTAATATAAGGTTAGGGATTGAAGAGAAATATTTATTTAATAATTCTGATGATTTTCCTGATAAAATATATATTATATTATTTGGTTATTAAGATAATTTCCTTATTTATTCAATCATGTTTAGATTAATTGATTATTCTGTAAAATAATGTTATTATTGTTCAAAAAAAACATTCGAAAAGCCAAAAATAAACACACAATTATTTCCTGTTTAGCTTTTATATATTAATTTTTTAAGGTTTATTTAATTTTTTTATTATAGATTGTTTTCGTATACTTTATATATTTATTCTTTGTGACCCTTTTATTTATTTAAAAAAGTATTTCGTTAAGTAACTGAAAACGAAGTATGAATATTAATTTTAAGTTATTGTTTTTAACTATGTCTAATATGAAGTAATTTATCCATTTTTAATTAGAAAAGTAATTTATTAAATAATTATAATTAAATTCTTTTTATGCACTTTCACTTTTTTCTTTTTATATTAAATTTATTTAGTCAGGGAAATCTATTTTATCTTTAATTAAATTTATTTTATTATTTTTTAATTATTCCTATTTTTATTATTATTATTATTTAATACTTTATTTAGGGGAATTATTGAAATTGCTTTCTTAATTAGTAGTTTTTTATTTATTTAATTATTATTCGAATATTTTTAATAAATTTTAAACCATTTTAATCTACTCTAAAGGATTAACGACTCTTATTGAATCAAAATCTTAAATTTGGTTAATTTTTTTGATAAAATCAACTAACCGTCTTTTTTTAAAAATAAAAACTATAAATAATGGAAGCAGTTATATTCTTATAAAGATGTGCTTAAAAAACACTCACTTAAACTTAAATATTGGAAATATTCATCAAAGGACAATTAATCACCTTCTATTATTTCTATACACTATCATAAAAGGAATGTGATTGATTTATTTTTCTAACTATCAATTTTAATTCATATAAATATTACTATTATTCTTATATAGAGATTAATTCACTATCATGGGAAAAATATATTATTTGTTTAAGCTTATATTCTTAACTTTAATTTAATTTCTTGGCTTTATTTATGAAACTTTCGAAACTGTAAAATTTATACTCTAATCCACTACTTCTAGATAAAGTATCTATTCCTATAATTAAATGTTTATTTTGTTAATTTAAAATATTTGATCTGTTAATATATTCTTTTAAAAGACTGTCTTTTTTTAATTAAAGTTTTTATATATTTATTCCTGGATGTTAAATCCTTATTAGTATTTCTTTTCCATTACATTATAATATTATTTTTCCTCCATCTCTATATATATTAAATAAAAATATAAAAGAATATAAGTAATAATATATAAAAAATATATATATATATATATATATATATATATATATAAATTTTTTTTACTTATATAAAACTTAATAATTTAAAAATTAAGAGAATCTTAAGAATGATTCAGCAGCTTCATATGTAGAAAATGAAATAATATCACAAAAATATAAGGAATGCATAAGAATATCACTTTAAGGTAATTATTAGAAAATTTAAATGGAAGGAAATTTTCTTTAGAGAAAAAAAGAAAGTACTATATTTTCATTATTTTCTGATGATGAGTTTTTTTTCGGAAAATATCTTTCGATGAAATAAGCTGGCACTAATAAAAATAAAAGATCATAAATAATAATCGAAATAACTGGTCTATTTTTAGAAACTATCAAGATTAATTCTTCCGAAATTGCCAGGTTTATTTTTTTATAAATGTCCCAGGAGTAATCTTCCTCATAGAACATATTTCTTCTTTCTCCGACTATAAATTGTGAAAAAAAATGTCTTGAAAAAATCTGGCATTCATTTTCAGGAATAAATAAAGGGTAGCATTTATAGTTTTAAACCATGAAATTTCTTAGTTATTCCTATTCTTCCTTATTTTCAATATAAATATTACATATACTGACCCATATTAAATTTAACTTAACATTTAATAAACTTTAATAAGTCGAGTTTATTAGAGGATCAGAGTATTCTATAAAATCGTATTTTTCATTTATTTAAGCACGCTTACTTTTACTTTTTAATTAAATGAAAAAAGGCAATTTAAAACTTACAAAAATTAATGTTTATTCGGTTTTTTCATTTATATTGTTGTCTATTTGTGTTAATGCAAATTCTTAGGTTTTAACTTATTTTAGTTAAATATTTACTTGATTTTATTAAATAACTTAATTTTATTACATTGAATAATTTTCGAATAGTTTTTTTATTGGCGGGTATAATTCTCTATTGTTGATGTTTTGGGACTCTTTTTTTATTTTATTAAATAAATTTACAATATTATCTAAATGAGGTAAAGCTGCACCTTACATTTATTATATTAAGCTTTGACTAAATTAATATTATTATTAGATTTATTTTTACTACTTTGTTTATTATATTTCTTCTTTTGTGTTTATTTCGATACTTTTTTCTTTTTTTACATGTTTTCCCAAATTTCTTTTATTAGATTTTAATTTTTATGTTTTGTATTAATTTTCTTAATCTTTTAAGTTATTATTATTACTACTTAAATTATCTTCTTAGGATATTTTTGATTACTTTATAAAAAATTCAAAAGACTAGCTTCCTGAAGAAGAACTCTTATTAAATTATTTTTAATAAATAAATATAAATATATATAATAAAACATAAATAAATATATTTAATATATTTATATTTATATTTATATTTATTTTTAAATATTTATATATATATATATATTTATTTTATACTTAAGCCTCTGCTACATTTAGTGGATCAAATTTAAATTAATTATTTTTAAATTTTCGAACATTAGCTATTTATTTTTATATCTTTTAATAATTTTATTTATATTACTTGTATCAATTATGTCCATATCTAAGTTAGTCACATATTTTTAAAAAGGCCTTTCTATTACTTGAATATTATTTTATTTCATAAATAGCAATGTTTTAAAGTATTATATCCTGTATTTTCTGTTTGCATTACATTCGAATCTTTCCCATCTTATTAATTATTCTCTTTCATATAATGCGCATTTAAATTCAATTAGAATTCCTATATATTTAAATTATTTTTTAGAAAAAAATAATAATAATTTTAGAATTATTGTTTTACCAAAGGGAACTTCTATAAAAGTTTCATGTGTCCATTCAGGATATATCTATTAATTTGTTTAAAGACATAAGCCTTTGTTTGTATCCCATTCACCTAGATCTTTTATATTGCCTATAATTCTAATTGATTAATTAATTTAGGTATGAAATTAAACTGAAAACTTTAAATAAGAGGTCATTTCAATACTCTTATGGATATTCTTTAGTTTTTATTAAGGTATTGTATAAAGTTAAAAATAATATATTTTTTTTATTATTATTATAATTTTAACATAAATTTTATGAATTATAAAAATGAAAAATTTAAAATAAATTATATTTTTTTATCTTTTTTTTTTTTGAAAATATTAAATCTAGAAAAAAATACATATTTTAATTAGAATATTTTTAGTATAAAATTATTAAGAATATTAAATGTATTAAATTTTATATATAAATTATTTAAATAAGTTTAATATGTTTTTTTATATATAGAGAACATTATAAGTTTAAAATATAAAATTTCTAAGATTAATATATATATATATATATATATATATATATATA